CTATATTTACGTACTCTTCTTAAAGTTTCCGTATGTATGTATGTATATGTGTGTGTTTTTTCGTAGCTCAGTGTTGAACTACTAAAATTGTGTCGCAATTTCATCAGTCCAATTCAAGGCACTTGATACACATTTCATATTTGTGGATATTTTCAATTTCTAAGAAGTTGAACCAACGTCTACCGAAATTAGTAATTTTTATTTCCCGTCAACAACGCAATTTTCCATAAGTGATCACAGGCGTCCATTGATCGTGGTGTATGTGCTGTGTTGCTGTCGATCAACGTTAAAGTAAGTAGTCCAGTGGTTGGTCAGTGGATCCCCTTTATTTATATAGATTGTTGATGGTGTCAGATGAACTTTGGGTAGTACTAGTTTAGACTGTATGTAATGGCTTAAATGAATTCTGGGTAGGTACTAGTTTAGTTTATGGGGAAACATGTATGTGGATTATTTTGTTCATATTGCTGTGAAGATTCAAAATGTTCACTTCTATCGTAGAAATGTTTGTAACTGCAGTTGCGTTTGAAGATTTTGCTTTTTGTCCTAGGGAAAATTGAAAAAATGGTTTGGTTATCTGGTTTTAATTTTTTTAACATTAACTTTAAACATTTATTTAATAATGCTTTTAAATATATGCATTAAATGTTGATTTGAAACAACAAAACATCCTCAAGAGCAGAAATCAAAACATTTATCCATTCTACCATATGTGGCGTGGCTTGAAAAACAGGTGAGGTTTACAGTAGATGTTAGCACAGGGCTGTATGGAAAAGATGTGAGAACCCTTCCCGACACCCTCTGTAATTGATTTTCTATCCCATAATCCTTTGCAAAATCCAATATAGAGGAAACTCATTTCTGTCCTATAGTAACTGCTTGAATTTCACAAGTTGAGAGCAGATCCCTCTACAGTACCTACTATAAACTTGTATTCAATGTCAACAAAATCAATCACAATGGTGCATGGAGTGTTTCTATGGAAAATTTTAACATGAATTCTTGTATTTTTGTCAGTTAAGCTATAAAGTTGTACAAGACGACAGAATCTGTTGGTTTGAAGTTGATGTGAAATGTTTTTACAGAAATCATGATTGATGGATAGCACTTCTTTGGTGCACCCAATCAATTTATTGAATTTGACTGAGATCAAATACAGTTTTTCCTAACACGATTACACCTTAGGCACGGCCATGGAAGGTCAGCTTCAGCGATACTCTAGGAATTGGACAATAGAGGAATAGCATAGGGAAATTTTTTTATTTTTCTGAAAGCACCAGGACTGTTGTCTTAGATGCCCAGTAGAGATACAAGACATTAAACTTATTGACGTTACAATATAAAGACAACTGATATTTTTACCTGATTGGATTGGAAATATGTGATGAAACAGTAACTTGTTTGGTGCAAGTATTGGTATTAGCACACAGTAGCTTACATGCATGAATTCACCTGTCATGTGTGACTTACACAGGCAGTTTTTTTTCTCTTTTACTAGTACATAAAACAGGGCTTACATAATAAGCGTCTGTTAACATTTTTCAATGACTTCTTGAAAACTATAAGCCTGATTGCTTTGAGACTTGGTGTATATGTACCATGGTTAGACCTCTCTCAGATTTGTTCATTTTTTGATGATATCTTCAATTCTTTAATTTTGATGAATATTTTTGTATATATATGTGTGCAATGAAATATTTGTTTCTTTTCTGGTAATTGAAAAAATAACACAATGGGCAACAATAACATGACTGTTTAAAGATTATGGCTGGCCTTGTGTTATATATAGTATCTGCTGTTAAATGCCAATAGTCTGTTACACACTTACACCTAATTGGGTTTTCAGACTTACACAGCGGTAATCGGTAAAATAATGATTGGTTGACATTTTAATTTGTTGCTACCGGTGAATGTGATGGATACAAATTCATATTGATGGGTTTCCGAATGAATTCCATAAAATTACAATAATATTATGATTTGTCTGGTGGCCAGTCTGACACTGAGTAGACTCGCCTATATAACATTGACCCGCTTCTCAAGATTTACTATGAATCATGGGTAATGTACTGGCAGTGATATTAATATATGCTTACAAGATTTAGGATATTATGTGGGTTTTTTTTTACTTAGCTGGTTATGGAGTAAATTATTGCCACGTTTCATAAAATTTGTTCAATAACTGTGTTTAAAAACAGTTAGGTATTAAATGTGAAATTATGTGTTCCAAAACTAAATTATAGAAAAAATGCATAAAAATATATAAAAGGCTGAACAGTAAAAATGTATGATTTCTTTGGTTGGTTACTAAATACAGTATTGTAAAGTATTGTTTGTCCTTGGATTGTGATGATTTATAGATAAGTAAATATCAGGGCAATAAAAATACCATGATGTGTAACATCAGTTTATTGTTTTGTTTTTTTTGGCAACTTTAATTCCTATGGTTGTTTTTTTTTTACTGATGGTATCAAAATAGTATTATTTAGACCATGAACGACTAATTATTTAATTGGTTGGTTGGGGGGGGGGGTAGTAGACAAATGTGTAGTAGTGCCAATTTTACTGGGGTCTAATGTCTATAAGTAACTTTCGCATCATTTTATTTTATCAAATAATGTAAAGTCCTAAAATTCAGGAAATTCTACGCATTAAAAATAACAGCTTGCAGTAATTTAAAAATAAAAACCAGTGGTAATTTCAAATGGAAAATAAAACAAATAAAAAGTCGAGGTCAAGTCAAGGTTGAATGATATCAGCTGTGACATTACTGTAAACTGCTTTAATTTTTATGAGATATGATTTTTTCTTGTCTAGGGTAACCACAAATTGTAACAGAGAACAAGGTTATTATGAAAGGGTTCGCAAAGTTCAAATTTTTCACTACTCCGATGTTATTGCACATGATATACCGGCATACACTGCATTATGGGAGAGAACTTCTCATTAATTTTTTTTTTAATGTTTGTCAATATTAGGATTCATATAATAATATACAACTTTTACATCGCTCGCTGCTATGCAAAATTTTGAGATGTGATAAAATAATTTCACCATGGAGACCAGTGGAAGAATAGTAATTTTTTTGTGAGATTTTGCAAAAAATCGTCTGGTGATCCCATTTGTTTCATTTTTGGTATTAACCTATCATAACGAAAGCGTGGAGAAAATGATTTGGATGAATCACCTGAAAAATGGGTTAAATAGCTTTTGCATAAATGTTGTAAAATCAACAACAATTTTTGCTATTTTTGCTGAGGGAATGATTCAGTGAAAATAAAATCAAGCGAATATACCTTTTTTCCTATATTTTACATTCAACTCGTCAAAATCAGTGAAAATAAATTCCATACAAAACGCAGAAAGTCTTTTCAGCGAAAATTAATTGCAACTAAAATAAAGTATTACACATCATATCCTGCCATTGTCTCATTGTGAAACAAACACATATGTTTTAGCACAAAAAAAAACAGTATAACACTGTTATCATGAGTTCAACTATATTATTACATGTACTATCCTCTTAAAACTGTCATTTTGTTTATTGACTGTAGTGACTGGCTACACATGTTTTGTCCTTCATATGGTAATTTGCATACTGTGTCCTCTGTTGCACTATGATTCACTATGTAGTATGACTGAGGCAAACAATTGGATGTAATGGAGATTATGTGAAGATACAACACATTGACTAGAATAAATCAATTTATTTATTAATATTTAACACAAGTCTTGTTTAGATTACAACATAGTACATGGTAAGATGTAAGCTAATCGTGTATGTTTGCAATATCGGCTTAGGCCAATTGGTTCAGGCACAAGAGGGAACAACAGTAGCCACAGGTAGGGAACGCTAAAACTTGTTAATAATATACAAATCTTCAGTTCTTTTGACTGTGATAACTTGAAGTATAGTAACCGGGAAGGTATACATGTTAGTTTCTATGGTAACCATTATAAAACAATACCAAATTAAATTCAGAAAGTCAGATTGCAGAATAACAGACTATTAAGTCCCATCTTCAGTTCAATTTTCCCCCCAAGAATAATGTCCATGGATGTGCTCACCTTGCATGACATATTATAAAATAGAAGAAAATATGCTTTATATTATTATTATTATTTCCACTATAAAGAAGATGTGACATTTCTTCTTAGGCTCAAGGTCAATAAAGCTTTTATAAAAATGGTTAAAATATGAAACAAAAATAAGAAATGTTAATTGATCTACTCTGGGAATTGTTCTAATCTGCTGAGCTATAGGGATCATGAAGCGCCCCGTCGTCTGTGAACGACTTTTTCTCCAAAACCACTGGAACTTTAGTTCTGGTTTTTGGTATGAAGATTCCTTATTGGTTGAAGATGTTTGTTCAAGAGGAGTGGATTCATCAACAAATCTAGAAATTGGGTCAAAAAAGCTGAAAATTGATATTTTCGTCAATTTCTCAAAAAAATGTAAGTCTGATTGACTTGCTATTTATTATGTACCATAAGTACTTTGGCTGGTCCTTTGTGTGGCCTTTTGATGTGGTAGCATTATCTTCCATTTTCTTTTTTGGTGAATTTTTTCATTATTATTTTTTGATATTTTTAGCCAAAAGTGTTATTTGCGACTCCTCCAATACTATCAGTTAAATTATTAGTATGTAGAGATTAGGGCAGACCTCTCTCAAGGTTGTTCATTTTGTATTGATATCTTCAATTTCGTGCAATTTCTAAAAAAAATTCTGTTTATTTATTTATTTATTTATTTTTTTACTCCCTTTTTGATTATCTTCAATTTTCTGTGTTTAGTGAATTTTTTTTTTAACTTTATTTGTCCAAATCATAATTTTTTAGAAATTTCTCTCCAACCGTTGCACAGATTGCTTTCATGTCAACCATAAACTTACCTGATGTAATCCTCTCTTTGATTTTGTCATATTCTGGAGTTATATTTAATAATTAGTGATTTTTTTAGATGCTATTTTCAAGAATTTTTTTCAAACAGCTACATTGTTATTTATTTCAGGTGTGAAAGTTCCTTATTAGTTAAAGATAGTATTTTGTTCAAGAGGTGTACATTCACCAATACATCTGTAAATTGGGTCAGAAATGCCAAAACATCTCAATTTTTCTTTTCAACAATTACTACATTATGTATTAGAGACAATCTGCAGCTCCCTGTCATGAAGCTGTTTTTTTTTTAAAGTGTACAAT